AAAAAAAAATCCACGTCCAAGAATAACACAGAGCTAGAACAAACCTTGGAAATGGTGGCATGGTAGTCCGGTTCTAGAGGTGGATGGAAATGACTCCAATAAATCAATAAGATTTTATTTTAATGCCTCTGAGCCACTGAGAGTGAGGAGATGGAAAAATAAAAGCGCCCATTTTGTGTCAGCAGAATGTAGAGAATTACTCAAAAAGCGAATTTTGTAAAAAATTACAGGTTGTAGTGATGTGTCAGCACCGCCTGTGAAATACTCGGGGCCGGAGGGGAACGCTGAGCTGGGCTCCAAAGCATCCCCCTTCCTCTTCATCCCCTCCTCGGCTTCAAAAGCCTTCGCTGCCTCAGCCAGGGAAGAGGATGTTTGTCCAGCGTGTCCCCTCCCAGCCCGGCAACCCCGGGGGAGCGCCGGGCACATGGGGAAAATAAATAAGTAAATAACAAAACTATTTCCCGCTGGAAACTATGCCCCTACCCTGGATTACAGAGACTGTGGGAGAAGAGATTTGCGTCCTCCTGGCTAGAAAATTCAGCCTCTTTGCCACAGTTTTCCATTATAAACCAGTGAGGTTTGGAGAATTGTGTATTTTGCTTAGAAGACCCGACCCCGTATCCATGTGCAACCTGCTGGCAGCCGCATAAGGGTGCTGCATCACCCTTTGCATGTTGGGTTTCCATGGATTTTTTTCCTCCTGGCATCCCTAATGTCCCTCGGTGGCCTCACACGTGGGTTTGTCCTCCTGTCCACATCCTTCAGGAACAGCTGGGCTCCGGGAAAATCCTTGGGGATCGGAGCTGTGACATCTCCAGGGCGCTGCCACGACAGAAAGCAAAGGGCTCCCACTGCTTTCCCCATCCCCTGCAGGCTTGGAAGCCCTGTGAGATGACACCAGCTTCAAAGAGAAGGTTTAAGTGTAGTGAGGAAAAACAAATGGAAGAATGAATAATAACCAGCAAAGTAAAGCTGGCGTCTGCTTGGAAGCTTGTTTTCATCGATCTAGAACCAAAATGAGAATACTCCTATGAGATAACGCAACGGGAAACTAGTGATTTTTTTTCTCACATGGAAAATATTTATTGGGGTTTTTTTTTAGGCAGTGCCTCCTGCAGCAAAATGGGCTCCTAAAGGGGTTCAGGTAGCCCAGGGTGGGCAGATACCTCCACGTGCCAAACCCAGAGGTGTGAGCAGCACCGCAGAGCGAGGCGCGGCCTTCCCCAGGACACTTTCCAGCCGGAGAACACCACCTCTGCCAAACACCATCTGCTGAAGGACCGGACGCGAAGGGGATGTTTTGAAAATGGACTTTTCCTGCCCGCCCGTCTCTTGAGCAGCTTGTGCAAACGCCGGCTGGAGCTGCCAGCTCCAGAGCCTGGTGAAGGATGCCAAGCTTTTTCTTTTCCAACCCAAAATCGATGCAAAACGGTCCCGTCAGCTGCTTTTCCCCACTCCTCCTACACCACAGCACCCTCTCCATCCACATCCGACGGGGCTGGGACCCCCATGAATCCCCACCCAGGTTCCCGGCTCTCCCATGCAGCGCAGGAGCTATTTCTGGCGCGGGAAAACCTCCGTCGGCTGCCAAAATCCAGAAATCTGCAGGAAAGAGCCCAACTGGGAGCCTCCCGCCGCACAATGCCGGCTCTGGGCAGCCCGAAAGCCCTTGCCAGGGATTTTGCCGGCGTTTCCGTGCCGTCTGCATCCCCGGGGCGACGTGACACTGTTTACAGGAAATACTGACGGAGGTTAAAGGAGAGAAACTCTGGATTTCTCCAGCGAAACGGGCACTTGAGCTTATTGCTTCCTCCCGGCGTGGCAGGGGCTGCGTGGAGACTTGCCCAGTTTTTGGTGAAAGAATAAAGCGGGGAGGGCTGAGGATAAAAAAAAAAAGGAAAAGAAAATAAAAGACATGCGAAAAAGCTGAGGCCCT